CAATTTGGCCATACACACTGTTCTCTCTGTTGGACACAGAAAAATATCGACATTGCTGATTTTGTATAGAGAAATTTTGCGAAATGCGAATGATTGATCTTTTGGTTATTTCAAATCCTAAATTGTATTCTGGCCTGTGACGTTACCATTACCAAGTAGTGTCTCAGAGCAGGAAAAGGAGAGCAGCAGGAGACTCATTTTAGTCCAAATATTGATGAGGCTATTTAGCTCCGGCTGCTGCTTTCCTCTGATCATGGTTACAAATATTTCATAGTCTGTAAGGTTAAAAATGTCCTCCATGAGATTAATCAGAATGGTAAAATTTGGGAAATTTTCCATTACTATGTAAGTATAAATACTATTCCATTCATTGCTGTTAAGAATGTTGTGGGGTCTAGCAGTATCAAAAAATTATCAAAATTATTTATGAAAATGTCGGGTCGAAAGAAGTTACTCGAACCAAAATCATATCAAAATGGAACGAAAATTGTGGAATAGCAGCTTGGGTTGGATCATCCGCAATTGGAGAGGAGAAAATTAATCCAAGCTAGGTGCTGCAAAATCAGAGTTAAGCAGGACGTTAAAACCCTCAAAATTGTAGCATTTAGCAGGAAATTTGATGCCTTCTTCACTTGGAATTGGACTCGTTTCGCTAGAAGCAATACAGCTTTTAAATAAGGATCATACCGACCAACGAAAATTTGTTGGTTCGTTGAGGAGACGAACCAACAAATTTGGCAGCATCGCTACATGGATAGCGGAGGAGCCGTGGGTTGGAACCATAGTTTCCCAATTGGCTTGTTGACATAGTTCACAGTGTATTGCCCTTTTGGTCTATTTTAGTGTTTTAATGTATGGATTACAAAACAAAGAATTCAATTTTATAGAATATCAAGAAAAAAATAAGGAATATAGCAGTTCTAAAGTAGTGAAAAACAAATAAATAAAAATAGAAACAATCACAATATGTTATAAAGATAAACAAAAATGTAATTTACAGACATTGAGAGTAGAGAGTTGGATTGAATCTACAAAACCGATCAGGCAACAAATTTCAAACAACGAGTATCATTGTGTATATTCTGGCAACGACATGAACAAAAGCGCATTCCACACCTTATGCAGGTATATGTAGCAGCAAATCCACAGACGGTGCAAAAATGGCGGCGGGATGACGAGCTTGGAGGTCCAACAGCTGCCTTTAAGTATGATGGAACATAAGGAGGCAGAGACTCCAAATTTGCCTGTTTTCGGAAGAAGAATCAATAATGCATATTGTAGGTCAACAGAAACACAACTTTCTGTTGCAATTTAGACCAGGAAATAGGAGCAGAAGATGTTTCATATTCATACTAACCTCGTGCAAAAGCTCCATGAAAGTTTTAGGAGCCTTCTTAGCTTCAAGTGCTTTTGCCTGTCTAGTTTTGCGCTTAGTGCCCTTCGATTGCCGCTTCTGTATGTATGCTGGATTGAACGAGGTAAACACTAGTCACACTCTATATTTCAAACAATTCCCAAAAGGTATAATCAATGCAAGTATGTTATCAAGCTTGGTTATCAGAAAAAAGAGAAAAGGAGTGGTTATCAAGCTTGATATTGAGAAGGCTTTTGACAAAGTGGATTGGGACTTCCTTGATGAAGTTCTTGCAGCCAAGGGTTTCAGACACACGTGGAGAAAATGGATTTGAGGGTGTATCTCAACAACAAATTTTTCAATCATTATAAATGGCCGTCCTCGGGGTAAACTTACTGCTTCTAGGGGCCTCCGTCAAGGTGACCCCCTCTCCCTTTTTATTTATTATGATTGTTGATGTCTATAGTAGACTTATGACACATGCAGCAAACATCAACTTTATTAAAGGTTTTGATGTGGGAAAGAACTCATTGGCCATTCATCATCTACAATTTGCTGATGACACCATCCTTTTCTCCCCTTATGATAACCTCTCCCTCACAAACATGTTCAACATCATTAGGCTTTTTGAGGAGGCATCGGGGCTAAACATAAATCACCAAAAGTCAGAAATTTTGGGGATAAATCTTGGAAAGGATGAACTGACTCCTCTTCAATCCAAATTTGCTTGTAAATTGGGGACTTGGCCGACCACATACCTTGGACTACCCCTTCATGGTAAGCACTAGTCACTCTCTTTTTGGGACCCAATGATTGAGAAAATTCTCTTTTTGGGACCCAATGATTGAGAAAATTCAGAAACGTCTCCTATCATGGAAATCCTCCTATCTCTCCAAAGGCGGTAGACATACTCTCATCCAAGGCACTTTATCGAACCTCCCTACTTACTATCTTTCCCTCTTCCCTTTGCCATCAAAAGTAGCACATACATTGGACAGCATCTACACAAGATTTATGTGGAAGGGTATCAAAGACAGTAGTGGACTGCATCTCATCAGAAGAGACACCATACAGAAACAAATCCATATGGGGGGCTTAGGGATTGCAAATATGAAGCTGAAAAACAGAACCCTCCTTGCAAAATGGATATGGAGATTCATTACAGAGGAAACATCTCTTTGGAGGAACGTGATCGAGGTAAAATTTGGTAAAGCATCATGGAACCTCAAACCTATCTCTACATCACAAGCTTCTGCTAAAAGCCCATGGGCTGCCATTAGAAAGATGCAAAATTTGATTTTTGACCGGTTGGCCTTTAAAATCGGAAATGGAAGGAATATTTCCTTTTGGGATCACCCTTGGCTGAATAGTTTGCCTCTTCAACAATCCTTCCCCCTCCTTTTCGCTTTATCAACAAGAAAGGACACCCCAATATCTGATATCTGGGACGAATCTACAGCTTGCTGGAATTTGGGATTAAGGCGGAACCTTAAAGACGATGAGATAATTGAATGGGCTGATCTTAATTTTAGGCTATCAGAGATTCATTTAACAACAGATAGGGATGGTGTTTACTGGAAACTAGAAACAAACGGTTCTTTTTCCACCAGCTCCCTCACAAAGGACCTCACACACAGCAACCAAGCACCACAAACTAGCCTATACAACATTATCTGGAAGGGAAACTGCCCTAAAAAAGTGAATTTCTTCCTTTGGGAACTTAGTCACCAAGCCATCAGTACCAACGATAAGCTACAAAGAAGACTCCCCTTTGTGGCTATTTCTCCACAATGGTGTATCATTTGCAAGAATAGCATGGAATCTCAACAACATCTCTCACTTCCTGTACTTTTGCATCTGAATTTTGGAATGTCATCCTCTTGACTTTTGGTTGGTCCACAGCATTACCAAATGACCCTAAACTTCTCCTTGAGGCCACCTTAATGAGACACCCCTTCAAAAACATAAAGGAACAGCTTTGGACAAATTTCATTCGAGTCTTTCTGTGGACTACATGGGGTGAATGAAATCAAAGGATCTTCATTGACAAGTCACAATCATTTGATCGTTTTTTTGATGCTATAGTGTTTAAAGCTATATCTAGGTGTAAAACTTCTCCTACTTTTCTTTACTATAACTACACTTCCCTCCTTTCCAATTGGAAGTGCCTTTTGTAACCCATCTATGAGCTTTTGTACTCCCTTTTATGGGCTCCTTGTAATTTCATATATCAATGAAATTGTTTCTTCAAAAAAAAAAAAAAAATGCAAGTATGTTATAGAAGCAAGAAAAAGAATTTAAGTTTGACAGGTTCTATTATTCCTTGGAAATGGAAATTCATTTTCAGGGTGGTTTTTCCATTAAAACACAAAAGTGTGTGAAAAGGAGGTCTAGAAGGAGAAGTAATGAGATATCAACCCACTCAAAGCCTATATAGGCAACAAAAGAACTGCAACTTGCTTGGAATTTAAGGGGAAAAAAGGAGTTACAACTACAAATAACTCAGAAAATAGTTCTTTGGTTTCATAAACAGTGGTAACTATCTTCTTACTCGAAATCTAATCTCTGGGTATTTCGAACTATAATAACTACAATCCTATAAATTCCTTTTTCTACTATCTTCTTGCAAACTAGAGATATCAATTTGTGGCAAGGAATTGAGCTCAACCCAATCACTAATTTCCAGTTCTGAGAGCTGCACTCTTAAATGCTGATGCCATCCCTCTCCATTATCGCTCCAACACTCAGCAATTGTAAAATCCCTAGAAAAATCCACATGAAAGAGCCTAGGATATTATCTCACCCTTAGTGGCTGATTAGCTATTCACATACCRTTGCAACAATTTAGGCAATTAACGAGTACCAAATCTCCATAGCCATTTAACTTTAGAAACCATTTATGGCGATTTTGAATTTCACATATAAGTTTCAAGCGAGATTTTGTTACTGGCCATCTCTTACAATACAATTTTCTTTACCATACACTAAAGCGTAAGCAACATCTGAATTAAATAAATAAATGAATAAGATCATATTGACCTAGATCGTCATCATCGAGAGAGGCATCCTCGTCGTCAATATTTTCTACCAATTCCATTCCCGCATTGTCATTTTCCAATGCCTCGAGACGAGCAAGAGCTGCCTGGAAGAGCATAAAAACTAAGACTAAAATGTACATGAATTGCAGCATCAAAAACTCATAAAAAGAAGAAGCAAACCAAAACCTAATTCAGTCATACCTGAGTGCGGTTGTCACTGCTTGCTAGGGCAGCCACCATCTTAGGAGCAACCTTCCGAGTGCGGCTGGACATGCGTCGAAATGAATTCGTAGCGTCGTCATCCATTGCTACAATCGCACAAACAGATTTGAAGGGAAAAACGAAGCGTACTAATCGGAAAAAGGAATACAAGCAATTAGATAGTAATACTAACCAGTAGGGCTGAAAGAAATCAAAACCGCATCATCAGAAGAGGAAAAAACCCTAGGTTTTGCATAAATTCTACTAGCCTAAGAGGAAAAACCTAATCGATTCTGTTAATTGGAGAAGAACAGAGACCGAGAAATTCAAAGAGGGTCGCCGCTGGAGCGCTACCAAATCAAGATCGAGTGGTGATCGTAATGTACATTGTAAGAACACGACTGAAAGAGCATCAGAGAGAAAGTTACAAACCTGAAGCCTGAGGGCTCGGATTTCTGGCCGGTAAACTTTCCGGTGGATGTTCACCGTTCTGAACTACGGCGAGTGTCTATGTTTATGCTGGAACTGCAAATTTACACCGGCGCCGCTGCAACGACCAAGTCCACCGTTGATCAGTGATACACCCGCCCTTATATGATCCAACAATAGAATTTAGGGAAATTGCAACCATCATCGAAAATCTTTTATATATTTCAAAATACACATTTTTCAAAATTTTTTAGTACCATCACATATTTGGAAGACTCATTACAACTCCCGTCAATTCAGGACCAGACATTACTATACAAATATTCATATCAATAGTATATATCATATATATGACACATACATATATCAGTAATCATATATTACAAATATATTATAAACGTATATCATTTGAATAAAGTTATCATTTTAAAATTGGATCTTCATTTTTTTTCAAAAAATACTGTAATTGAAAAAATAATTGCTATTTTACCAATTTTACTAAATGTTTTTGTCATATATATATATATATATATATATATGTTATTTTTAATAATTATTTTTTTCATTTTCTACCAACGTGAGCATGCTCAATGCAATGTTTGCTTTAGGTTTCAGCGTTGGAGCTCTGCAATTATTCGACAAATGTACTTCTTGTTCTCATATCTCACACTTCGAAAGCACTTTTTTCTCATATTTTCTTGTATTTTTCTTTCGAGATATATATAGGTCAACTTCATGCATCTTGATGTTTGTTGGAATTGGGAAGCATATTTTTTCGATCCAAACTTCTTTGTTCTTTCTAAGTTTTCTTTTGTGTAAAAGAACACAGCTACTGCAAAAATTGAAATTTTAGTAGTAGACGACATCCCTTCTTAATTTTGAGTAGGTGAAACTGTTTAGTTTTTGCTATTTTATTAAGAAAACACAGTTGGAAGGAGTACTTACTGAAAAAAAAAATTGTAAGAAGGAAGAGAATTTTGAAAGTAGTATTTAATTTGGGAAATTTAAGGTAGTGTCTAAATTTTGACATCTGTTTTAATAAACGGTATATATTATCACAATTTACACAACACAAAAACAACCAAAATTTCATAGGCTTGAAAATAAGGAGGCTAATATGTTCTAGACAAATTTAATTAATATCATAGCGTATTAAAGTTTCCCCAGCTTTCAACATTTTTATATATCTTTAGGCTCAATATTATTATAGAGTTAAATTTTAATATGTAACAATTTAATCTTTCTAATTTAAAATTTGTAACAATTTAATCGTTAGTATTTATAAAATAAAATATCGATTTTTATCATATAACGATTTAGTCTTAATAATATAAATACATTTGGTCTCTCATTGGTTATTGATCTAAAAAAACTCGCCATACGCATTAAATCATAACCAATTTTAAACTACAAAGATTAAATAGTTACAAATTTTAAAAAYTAAGTTGTTACAAATTTTTTGAAGTATAAAGACTAAATTGTTATATAAATTTTTTTTTTTAATACAACATATTGAGAGAGAGGATTCGAACTCACCAGCTCTTGGTTTGAGATATGTGTTAATTATCTCCGAGTAGACTAAATCATTACTTCAATTAAAGTACAGTATAACCTTATTTGTTTGATTAACATTTCACCAATATTAACGTTTTATTAACATTTCATCATATTAACTTTTAAAATTTTAGTTTCGATTTTTACCCCCACCAATTTTTGTTATTTCCATCGTACTCTACAAAAACTGAAAATATATGAGATTTTTTTTTTTTCTAATAATGATATTTTTCAAACTTATTCCAAATATATGTCGCTACCCAAACTATTTTCAAGAATAATATTTGAAAAATGGATTTCAAGAGATGACCAATACACATCGGTACTTGACCAAATGATATGGCGCTCCATTGGCGCCATGTTTAAGTTTTTAAAAAATTTGAAAATAATGGTCGTCTCTTGAAGAGACGGGCATCTGAACGGACACGCAAGACCACCAACTTGCATGGTTGCCAATGAAACAAAAGTCAGATAATATTAATATCTTCTAATATTTGTTTCTAAATCACATTAATATGAAGGGAAATAAATATAAAAGCTTTTTAGACTTCCGTTTCAAATTGTAACAATACCTGCTATTATACAAGGCAATTAAACCATCTAATTTAGAGATGGTATTCATCGGATCGATCATACTCTTGTTCATTTGAAAATGTTACATTATTTAATCATTTTTATCAAATTGCATCTCTATTTATACTGCAAGATAATTGTAACTACCATTGACACATATTTCATTGTGCAGCATTTCCTCTATTTATTTATTTATTTATTTAAAAATGCTACAAATACTTTTAAAATATTAATCAATATTTTAATTTTAAATTATAAATTACATAAAAGAATATTGCACCCAAAATTACATATTTATTATTAATATCCTACATTATAATTTTAATCCGGTGAGAGTTCTATTTTCATCTCACAATCATTAATATTTGAAAATTAATTTTCAAATTTTAAGGATATAGATAATGAATCTACGCAACCAACTTTAGCCAATTTGAGTATTATATTATCGATAAAAAATAAGAGGTTTGAATTCTCACCAACATAGTGTTGAACTAGAATAAAAGACATATAGAGTAAATTTTCTAATTAAAATTTTGATATTTTTTATCAAAATTTCAATAAATGAAAGGGTCGATATTGATATGAGAGGTCACTGGTATGATCTTAGAAAATATTGTTGGCCAATTTGTATATATATTCCCTTTGCAAAAAAGTTTTAAAAAAATATTTATCAAATTTGATTTAATTCAACAATTATTTCAGAACTTAAAAAAAAACTATAATTATTCCAAGATACCATATCCATCAATATCTATACACATCAAAATAAGACATCAACATTTTAAAAAATCAATTCATTCATTATCTTTTCTTCCCTCATTTATATATATAAAGATGGGTTATACAAATTTCAAATTCAATTTCATAAAGTGAGTTGAAATAAATAAATAAATATCCATATAGTAATAGTCCTTTTCTTTCCTACTTTATTTTTAATTCCCAATTAATCCAAAGGTATAATGCAATAAGACATCCAAAAAAAAAGAGAGAGAGAGGAATATATTTTATATAATTCCAACAAGTATTTACTTTGGAGACAGAAATTTATATAAAAATGGAAATATTTGAATCTAAAATGAATGCTTAAAATTATCAATTGGAATATGTCAATTTATATAAGCATGTTTTACTAAATTTTCATTTTAAAAAAAGAAAATTATTTTGAAGCAATTCTTAAATAAACCCTAGATTTAAAAAAGCTACTTGAATTAGTATGTGAAAAATTATCGAGATTAAAAAAAATGATCGAGATTAAAAAGTGACTAAATATCATATGTCATGTAATTCCTAAAGTATACATCACGTTTTAATTTTATACCTAATATTTTTTAAGTTTCAATTTTACTTTTAGCATATCAAATGTTTCATTTCAAATAACACTTTTGAAATTGAATATATAAAATTATAATATGATAAGTAAAAAAATATTACTCTTTATGAAATATGAACCGGCATTTTTTTAATATTAAAATATCAGTCTCATCCTCCATACTTAATTTTTTAAAAAAAAATCATTCATCTTGATTTTTTTTTTAAATAAACCAAACAATAAAAATTTTCACAAAAATGTTTCATATTCCAAATAATTCTAATAAAAAAGATTTCACCTCTCCAAAATTTCAAACAACTCCAGCACTCCTTTTTCTATAAACTTCCCTCCGTTATCCAACCATAATTCAATTTTTCTAAAGTATAAAGTAATTTTGCTAGGATATTATTCGTCAACGTATCGATATTTCTATCGACATTTCTATAATATCCATAGATTTGATATCAACGTAAAAGATGAATTGACATTTTTAAAGAATCACAAAAAAAAATTATAAAAAATATCACTATAATTAAAATTTTCATAAAATATGATAATTTTTTACTTAGTTATTGAAAGGATCCTAAAATATTTAGGTTTTAATTAACATATTTGTTAAGATTTTATATATATTTTTTAAAATATTCATCCACATCGATATTTTAGTCACTACTTGAGTCACGGAAGATGCTTTTTGACCCATAGCTACATAAATACATATTACATTTTTCCCTTGTTGATTGAGAATCATATCTATGACTAGTGCAATTTTACTGCATTTTCATAAAGTTAAAATTTAGTATAACAATATGTAAAAGTATAATACATTATATTTTAATCGGAGATACATGTCTTAACCGTAGAATACATTATATTTTAGTAGGAGATAAATGTCTTAACAATTCGATACATCGAAAATCTTAACTATCGGGTTTAAGGAACAAAAACCTCTCACTTTCTCCAGACACTTATTAATAACCATTTTCGCCACAACTTTTTTATATTTTATGTATTCTAAAAAATTATCAACTCTCTCCTAAAGAAATGTGCAGCTCTTCTTTTCTTTTTCTTTTCCTAAGTGAGATCAACATATATATATATATAACTTTTCAAGGAAAAAACATATATATATATAAAATAACCAGTTACTAATTATGATGGATTGGATAACTATTTTATTTTTTGTTTGTTTGTTTTTAAAAATTAAACTTAGAAAATACAGGACAAATTTTAAAACTAAAAAAGCATTTTCTTAATTAGCTAAAAATTCAAATATATTGTGAAAAACTTAACAATGAAATTGCACAAAAACAAGAATAATTTTTAAAAATAAAAATTCAAAACAGGATGATTACCAAACCGCTCCAAAATCTTTAATTTTAACCCAAAAAAATGGAAGAAATAAAGGGCAGATATTAAAAAAAAACAAAAACAAAAACTTTTGATCTGATAGAGAAATAAGTTGATATTCCGGCAAACAAAATAAAATACAAAAGACCACCAGGTTAAAAACATTAAATACTTAATTAGACGGCTGATCTTGGAATAACAAAAAATTATATATCACATATATAATTTACATTAAACTACTTACCAAAATTCGAACTCAACAACTTTCCTCATCCAGATATATAATATAGAAATCCATTTTCTACAAAATTTAGTTCTGCAAATGTATATATCAATTTTGACATTTGTGTGTCCCCTTGCATGTAGACATACCTTGTGCCCTAAATTTGAATCAACAACCCAGAATCCTCC